TAGATATATATAAAAAAAGTCAAAAACTACTAAAAATGACAAAAACAGCAAAATTATTAAAACTTTAAAATAAAAAACTGATTCTAAATTCTTTTAAAAACTATGATAGTTTCTCAATGATTCTAAAATAACACAGCTATATATATATATATATATATATATATATATATATATATTCAGTTTCATTTATTATAATAAGTGTTATAAACACTCTCACGGTGGCACACACACTTAGACAGGTGGATGGTAGGTTGGTGAAGCTGTCAGTCTGGGGGAGGCAGATCGATTCAGAGTGACAGGTAGCCAACCCCCCAGGAGTCTTCATTAAAACCCTGAGTTAGAGCTGCAGGGGAGGGGCACACACACACACACACACACACACACAACACACACCTCATTTCCCTGTAAGTATGGTGTGGTGTGTTTGTGTGGCTCATGATATATTGATTGTCTGTTAGTGAGTGTGTTGAGGGGATCAGCAGGGCTGGACTCACACTGTGTGGACTGGAAACAAAGCTTTAGCAGAAGAGCGAGACTGGTGCTCACATACACACACACTCACACACACACACACACACACACATGCAAATCATATCTAATACCAAAGTGCACATTTGCATTAGCTATGATCTAGAACTATTCATAAAATAAAATAAAATAATAAAAAAATGTAAAGTTTATTAAATACAAGATTACCTGACAAATCTTGTATTTAATAAACTTTTATTTTATATATTTACACAATTACAATTAGAACAAGATAACAAGCATAATCAAACACTTGACAAAACTCTAACATGACCCCTAAATCCAATCTTAATATTGATCTGTAATCCAGTTTAAACTTTCACCCCCTAAAACCAGGTATGAGTTTGCATTAAATTGATTGCTGGTCAACCTGAAAGAGTTCCTGAGATATACATATTTAATATTTGGTAGCTTAAACATCTTTAAAAACTATATAAAGAAGTTCCAACTCATTCAAATAAAGGCAACTCACATTTCATTTAAAATCTAAAGGCAATTTAATACAATATCACTATCCCTCATTAATTATAATATGCCCCTCCAATTAATTATTTAGTGTTGTTTTCTAAAGAAAGCAAAACCCTAATCACATGTATATACGTATAACTCATCCTGTACTGTTTGAACTGAAACTTGAATTTGATCTTAGTTTGCATGGTTTGTTGAAAATATGTGTACTAGTCAAGTGGGTGAAAGATCAAATAGACTTGTGATGAAAGAACAACCTGAGCTATATCTAAGTTGCAGAACATCACTTAAACTTTGGAATGAACCTTCTTTGGCTATGAGTTAGCAACAACCCAGAACACCAAAACAATCATATAGCAACATGCTAAAAACACTCAGATGCACAACGCCTGGCAAAAACCTTAGCACTTTTTGTCACAAGCAAGCACAATCGCAGTTTCTTCAGAAAAGGTAAGAATTTAGAATATTTTTTAAACAGGATATCTGTCTTATTTTAGATTTAGTCTCATATTGTTTTGGTATGAAGCACGGGTGTAGGCTGCACTGGCCTGTTTGATCTATGAAGGGGGTATTCCAGATTCTAATCTCATTGAATAATGTGGTCTGGCCTTTTGAGTTTTACCTTTGGATGATGGGGTTGAAGTGAAGATGATGGTGATATGATGAAGACTGGTCCCTTCACAGGCATGTGGTATTACCCCACTACAGTGGGACTCCCCCTCGGTCAGGATGGATGAGGGCGGTAGGGGAGGGACAGTCTGGAGAGATGGAGAGCTCTGCTTCATGTCGGAAGTTGAGACTGATTGGATGAATGTACTGCAGCCTGCAAGGTTGTTGGGCTCAAATTCTCCCCTCGAAAGCCCTTTTAGATTCTACCACAAACGCTTTCAGTTTTTCCATCCTCCCACTCTTTCTTTCTGTCTTTATGTATCTCACGCTCTCTTTTTTTATGTCTCTTGCTCAATCAGTGTCTTGTTGATTTTTAAGATCATAAATTTATGTCGGTAAGATTTTTTGGTGGCATGTTATTGAAAAAAATTATCTCATGCTGATCAAGGCTGCATTTATTTGATAAAAAATACAGTAAAACAGTAATAATATTGTGAATTATGATTACAACTCAAAATAACTGTTTTCTGTTTTAATATATTTTAAATAATTTCTTCCTGTGTTTGAAACACTGAATGCTTACACTAGCGTTCTTTGTATCATAAGATCCTTTAGAAATCATGCCGACTTGGTGCTTAAGAAACATTTCTTATTATTAACAATGTTGAAAACAGTTGTGCTGCTTAATATCTTTGAGGAAAATTGATTAAAAAAATAATAATTCTTTCATAAGTACAGCAATCTTTTTTCATAACACTATAATGTCCTAACTGGATCAATTGAATGCATCCTTGCTATGTGGCCTGCACATTTTAGAGTGGCCTTTTATTGTGGCCAGGCTAAGGCACACCTGTGCAATAATCATGCTGTCTAATCAGCATCTTGATATGCCACACCTGTGAGGTGGATGGATCATAGAATGTAAGATTGTAAAAAAAAAACATTTGTTTATTATAAATAATATATTTAATATAAAATACATAGAGAAAATAACAAAAATAAGATAGGCCTATATACTTTTTCTTTGTAGATTTCATTTATTTATTTGATTGTGATAGTAATCAGTCGATTGAAGAGCAGAGGAGTGATTATCAGTCATGTAGATATGGTGGTTTGTACCTGTAAAAGAGACTTATGAAACTTCTTGTCTGGAGTGTGGCTTTTCACGCTGGTTGGTTGGTTGTGTGGGTGATTTCTTTGTAGTTTCTTTATTAACTAAAATGGTGGTTACATCTCTCGCTATGTCTTTCTGTTTATGTGTGTGTGTCGCTGGAAAATAAACCTAAAGATCCAGAGCTTTACAAAAAAGCCTTTGGGAGATACAGAAATAAAGATACCCAGAGAGAGAATGGGAGAGAGAGAGAAAGGGAGGGAGAGAGGGAGCACACAGTGGGCTTTGGTTGGATCTCAGTGCTCACATGTGGTTAATCCGTCGGTGTTCCCTAAAGACAGAAACACTGATCGTTGGGGTGCTGAGGGAAGAGCAGGTGTGTGCGGTGTATCTGAGCCTTAATTATACCCAACACATTCAAAGTCCTCATATATTTACATACACAGAACGCTTAACATGCTTAAAAGTCTGTGATGCAATTCTGTAATTATTATCTAATCTCTTTCTGATAACCTCATTCAAACCTCAGGACAAATTTGTTTTAGACTTTCTTTAGATATGGCAACAGTAAAAAAAAATGTACTGTCGTTTTTACACAACTCATTGAACATATTGATTTGTAGGAAGTTGTTTTGGGTAGCTTAGAAACAGAAAGGGCAGTACGTGAGAAAGACACTCCACATCTCTGACACCAGGTAAGAAGGATATAGGCCTATATTTTTTTAATGATCTAAAATGTGTACACTTGATTTCATTATTGTTATGAAATGTGAAAACAGAGAAATGTCACATATTTTTTTAAAGTTTCTCTCTCTGTCTCTATACACTATTAAAATAGTGCAATTGTGAAACATTTCATGAGTATTGTTAATAACATTTAAGCTGCAAATGTGGACATTATATATGATATAGTTTAAGTATTAAGCTTTGCTATTTCATATAATAGCAAATGCAACAATTAGCATTTTTCGTAACTAAACATTGTTTGTTTGCAAAGTGTTTTATCCCCTGGATGATAAAGTTGCCCAGCACGTTCACTCTATTAAAACAGTCTTAGTTCCGCTTAGAGCCATAGACGGACACAGTTTGGAGTTGCACACAGCACAAATCGAAACCACTGTTTACAAACACAAAGTTAGTGACAGCGACTAAAATCACCGACAGCAGGGCTTTGTTGTTTTCCGTTTTCTCGACAGGTAAGGAACGACTGAAACTGGGGGAAAAAAAGCAGTTTCAGTATATATGGTTTACAATCACAGAGCTGAATAAAGTCTCTGTTGAGGGAGTGTAGCAAGCTAGCTGAACTTATACACATCTGATTGCCCGAGGGATTTTATTGTTACGGCGTATTAAAAGTATAACGTTGAACATGAGAATGTGAACACACAGTCTTGATTTGTCAGCTAACAGTGTAACAGTCTCATCACGCTAGGCGTGTTGTCTGACTTCTGACATAATGCTGACATTGGACACTTGCACTTTAGTATCTTTGTTTTTACCAGGTTTTCTACACATATAACATGGTAATAGTAATGCTGTGATGTTGGACTATATTCTTTGAAGTATGTCAGAGTACAATGTAAATACCATGATACTAAATTATGCATTCAGTACCTTTATCAGCCTATATCAAAAATACCATATTATTACCATCTGTTACAATTGTATTGATACTAATCAGTACTTTTTTTTAACTTTCTCATAGAGAAAAACTACCCACCCTCTTAACTTAATACTGTATTATCTTTATATACATTTTTTACTGTTTTAATTGTCATATTGTCTCTTACTGTCTTTTAGAGGAAAACTGAGTATGTATGAATTTGTTAAGCCCGTGACCTTATAAGAGAAGGTCATAAGAGACAGTCATGATGGCGGAGGAGGCTGGAAAGCTTCCACTTCGTCGCCTGGAGCCCCCCATTCAGAAATTCATTAAAGTGGCTATTCCCACTGACCTGGAGAGACTGCACCAGCACCAACACAACATAGAAAAGGTACAAACACACACATGAACAGTGACAGCAAAGCCCAGCACATCACACCCAAAACTCAGCATATGGTCAACAGAGAGAGCCATGTGTCTGTGTGTGTGGTCACCATAGGTAGTCGAGTGCTGAATAGCTCATGGTGTATCTGAAATCTCTCCCGGTTAGCGTGCTTGAGGAACAAATAATAGGATAATAGGGTTTGGGGGATCTTGCATAGCCATGGAAACCTAGATGATTGTGAATTACCAGGCTGTGATCATGAGGAGATTGTATTAAATATACATAAACAGTTAAAGCAGTGAAATTAACTAAGCTTCCTTGTTGCAGTTTCAGAGGAACGGTCAGTGGGACAAACTGCATCAAGAGCACATCAACTCCAGCCGCACTGTCCAGGTACAACAAAATTGTAAAATAGCAATTTTTTTACGTTTGCAATTTGAAATTATGATGATCGACAATAACTATCGCACTGTTTTTTTTTTGTTTTTTTTTTAAAGTTGATACATTTATTTAGCAAGGATGCGTTCAATTGATCAGAAGTTACAGTAAAGGCATTTATAATGTTATAAAAGATTTCCATTTCAAATAAATGCTGTTATATTGAACTTTCTGTTAATCAAAGAATCCTGAAATGTATCACGATTTCAAAAATCGTATCACGATAAAAATATTAAGAAGCACAACTGTTTTCACCATGATATGTTCATCTGAAGTATTTTTTTTGTTTAGAAATTATTCTTGAGAGTTCAATTTCCATAAAATAAAATGTAAAAATCCTTATCCACATGCAAATGACTGGAAAATCATTGTTGCAAAGTGTGGGACAATTACCATTAACGACTAGGGGATTTGGGTTCATATGTGTTTCAGTTAAAAAAAATCTCTCAATTTTATTGTTGGTTTTGTTGTTTTTTTCAGGGTAGTGACCTGGTTTGAAAATATTCCCATGTGCCACAAGGCACTGTGGAATGTTGCTCAGACAAAGCATTCTTAGTGATGTAACAGGCTGTTGCCATGGTTAAAATGCATAATAAATCTTAACATCATATGGGCACAGTTAAAAGGGATCATTTAGGCAAAAATGTAAGTTATCCTTAATTCACCCTATATGACATTGTTTTCAATGGAACTCAAAAAGAGACATCAAGCAGGATGCCTTCCATACAATCACAGTGGATTGAAATTGAAAATCATAGTTGACTTAAAAACTAGTTTGACAGCTGTGGTCACTATTCACTTTCATTGTATGATAAAGAGCTGTGAACTGTTCCTTTAAGCAAAAAATAAATGTCATCATGTTAATCAGGTTCAATGCAGGTTAAACAAAAATTAAAAGGAAGTAATCTGTGCATTCACAAATTTCTCTGAACATGATAAAAAATGCCTTCATCCTGTTCTGATACAGCTGTGAGACGTGTCTATATATACAGTGGGTACGGAAAGTATTCAGACCCCCTTAAATTTTTCACTCTTTGTTATATTGCAGCCATTTGCTAAAATCATTTTAGTTAATTTTTTTCCCTCATTAATGTACACACAGCACCCCATATTGACAGAAAAACACAGAATTGTTGACATTTTTGCAGATTTATTAAAAAAGAAAAACTGAAATATCACATGGTCCTAAGTATTCAGACCCTTTGCTGTGACACTCATATATTTAACTCAGGTGCTGTCCATTTCTTCTGATCATCCTTGAGATGGTTCTACACCTTCATTTGAGTCCAGCTGTGTTTGATTATACTGATTGGACTTGATTAGGAAAGCCACACACCTGTCTATATAAGACCTTACAGCTCACAGTGTATGTCAGAGCAAATGAGAATCATGAGGTCAAAGGAACTGCCTGAAGAGCTCAGAGACAGAATTGTGGAAGAATTGTGGAACAGAACCCTTCCTAGAGCTGGCCGTCCGGCCAAACTGAGCTATCGGGGGAGAAAAGCCTTGGTGAGAGAGGTAAAGAAGAACCCAAAGAGCATTTCCGTACCCACTGTATATATTAAGTAATGTTTGACTCAAGTCTCTGGAGTAGGGGATTGTGTACGTGTGATGTCTTTTCTCTACCTAATGGCCAGACAAGCATGTAACCTGTGTGTTAATGTCTCTGAGAGTCTGTCCGAGTCTCTCATGGGATAAGATTTCTTGGAGTGTGTTATGTGCCGTGAGTGTGTGTGTGACCTTAGCACCCAGATCTGGTCCCCCCAGAGATGCCAGAGAGCTTTCCTGTGTCCACCAACGCAGAGAGTGTGTGAGAGCCTGCAAGTGTTTCTGTGTCAGCGAGATGTGGACGACTGACAATAGACGGAAACAAGACAGACATTGTTAAAGTAGCTCCCCGGGGACAGAAAGAGAAAAACCCTAAGATTGCTCTCATCACACACCTATAGAAGGAACTTTGGGGGGTGGGCTGGTCTGACCCAGATTAAGATTTATTTCGGCTGTCTTTTTGAGATCCTTAGTGTCCTCAACCTATATTATAAAGCAAGCTGCATACGTTGGTGATGTTTTTAGTGTTCTTTGTGTATGTGAATCAGTTAGGAGGGATGATCCCGAGTATGATTATTCAGAGTGTGAATTGAGAGCAGTTGAGTGGAACACTTTGATTGGCCAACTGTTAGCTTTGACCCCTGTGTTCAATACATATGAATTGATCTGTAATCCCTGCTAGATGTTTGCTTCCGGATGTGAGCCGATGGGAATCGACAGGCTCCAACAAAGCACCAGTTCTTTTTTATGTATAACTTAAGGTTTTAATCAACATCTGGTTCATAATTAATGAGAAAATAAATAATCACAGGGTGCTTTTGCTCATAAAAAAACTAGAAAAAACAGAGAATTTTAAAATTGTGATATCCAGGTCTGATTTATAAAAATAATTAAATCTTAAATCATTTAAGTCTTGAGAAAGCTCATGGGCATTTCTGTAATGATTTTTCCCCTAGATTTTCTGGTAACAATATTTTATTTGTCAAACATTATGAAGACCATAAAAATAGACAGTTGGAGTTAAGTAATAATAATAATACTTTAAAAGATTTAAAAAAAAAAAAACCTTTCCAGTAATCAGGAAAAACTGTAAGGTTCATGCAGTAAGAAATCATTGGTTTTTAAACTTTTTCTACAAACGCGCAATTTTGACTGAGAACTTAATGAGATGTTGGCAATGGATGAAATATGGATATGGATATCTGAGTATCTGGTTGTACTCGCAATGGAGAGAAAATATTGTGAACAATTTTGGGTTTCAGGTTTTAAAATTTGACAGTACTGGTTTGGATCCTAGGGTCTAAGATGTGATGGGATCTGGATGGTGGTAAGTATAATATGATGATATCCAGCCTTATTAGCGCTTGCCTCTCTGTAGAGGACACCCACAGTATAGTTTATTCCATTAACACTGAGCCAAAGATGACCTCAGGAGGTCTGCGTGTGTGACTGTGTGTTCTCTTAAGCATCCATACAGCTTGTGAGCAGACGGTGCTGATTATCGTCTACTCCTGAGGGGAGGGAGGGAGAGAAAAAGAAAGCCATCAATAGCTTTCGTACCCAGTCATTAGTGAGTGTCTTAAAATAGTCTGTTTACAGGGGTTAGGTGGTAAGGTGTGTGCGGATGACTAATAAATAAGTGCTTATAGGATTTTGATCTATCTATCTATCTATCTATCTATCTATCTATCTATCTATCTATCT